TAGTTATTTCCTCATATTATTATGTAAACTACTGTTTTATAAAACTTTAAAAATACATTAAAATCTTGAAAAATCATGATATTGTATAATTATAAAAAACATCTATAATTTTGTGACTATTAACTCTACCTAGGGTAAAATTTATATCCAATTAGTTTCGAACCCGCTGAACAATTTCTTCTTAATTCTGAAGGTCGATTAGCTTTGACCAAAGTACTCAAATTATACTGTGAATTTAAAAACCATGTAATGCAGTTGCAAAAATATTCATAACATTGTGGTATTAACTCTACCTTAGTGAGAATATATATTCAAATAATTTCGACCATGCTGAACAATTTTCTCTTAATTGGGAAGGTCGATTTTACTTTGATTATAATGCTCAAATTACACTAAGTTGTTTAAAAAACTATGCGATGCAGTTAGTATAGTTACAAAAACACCCATAAGTTCGTGGCTATTAACACTATCTTGATGAAATTTATATCCAATTAGTTTCGAACATGCTGAACAATTACCTCTTAATTGTGAAGGTCGATTAGCTTTGACTAAAGTGGTCAAATTACACTGTGAAGTTAAAAACCATGCAATGCAGTTAGTACAGTTGCAAAAACATCCATAGCTTCGTGGCTATTAACTCTACCTTAGTGAGTGAGAATTTATATCCAATTAGTTTCGAATCCGCTGAACAATTTTCTCTTAATTGTGAAAGTCGATTTACTTTAACTAAAGTGCTCAAATTATACTAAGTTGTTTAAAAAAACCATGTGATACAGTTAGTATAATTACAAAAACACCTATAACTTTATGGCTATTAATACTACCTTGATGAAAATTTATATCCAATTACTTTCGAATCTGCTGAACAATTTCCTCTTAATTATGAAGGTCGATTAGCTTTAACCAAAGTGGTCAAATTATACTGTGAAGTTAAAAACCATGCAATGCAATTAGTACAGTTGCAAAAACACCCATAACATCGTGGATATTAACTCTACCTTGTTAAAAATTAATATTCAAATAGTATCGAACCCGCTGAACAATTTTCTCTTAATTGTGAAGGTCGATTAGCTTTGACAAAAGTACTCAAATTACACTGTAAAGTTAAAAACCATGTAATGCAGTTAGTATAGTTGCAAAAACATCCATAACTTCATAGCTATTAACTCTACCTTGGTAAGAATTTATATTCAATTAGTTTCAACCACGCTAAACAATTTTCTCTTAATTGTGCAGTGTTGGCTATACTTATAAGTCCAATAAAATTGAATTCTATTGGACTTATAAAATTATTAAATCCAATAGTCCAAATGACGGAGTTTTTATAAGTCCAATTGGTCCAATAGCCATCACTGTAATTGTGAAGGTCGATTGACTTTGACAAAAGTGCTCAAATTATACCTTGAAATCTCTTTATACAGTTTGTAAAAGTGTTTTTTAAATAAAATAAAAAAAATAAAAACTGTAAATATTCTTAACATTCTTTCAAATTGATTTAATTCAAGTATTTATGTTTAAGTTTAAAAAATAAGAATTTTTTAAAAATAGCATTACAGCTAATTTCATAATTCATGGACCATTAATAATTTTTCAGTCGCATTCAGTCGCAATATTTTATAGTAATT